CTTTGACAGCTTGTGCCATGACGTCTTGTATGAGCATTCCAACTTGATAAGAATGGAATGCAGCGCGTATGTTGCGAAGCATAGGTTGGGCACATCATAACAAAGGGGCTAGCTTTTGTCATGGCTAGCAAGCCAGCCACTGACATGTTCTCAAGTATGAGGCATCAGCTAGAAAGTGAGCAATTCAACTTTGGAATTGATAGAGCCGGTCCGGACAGCGGCATCCAGTACTGTCTCGGGTCTCCACTCCTTCGGCGAAGTTAGGTACGGAAGACCCTCCACTAACGGCTTGCGTACGGGCTCGGTGAAAGGTGAATCTGTCGGGCGGGAAGTCTATTAATAAGTTGACAGTGGCGTTTGTGGCTTCGGCCACACCTTGCTCCAGCCACATTGATCAGTTCCTCACAAGCCACCCACCACACGTGCCACAACTCCCCATCTCTCTCAACCTCAACTACCTTACCTACACACAGTCATTCTGCTCATCGTGGTTCACGGAATGATGTGATTCGGCCACGCGAGATGAGCCAACACTCTGTTCATGGATGTCCTGCATGCCGCTACATCCCGCAGAGCCGTCCTGCCCTCCATGTAACCGCGGCCAAATGAATGGCCAGCGTTGCGGTTCCCTATGCAGGCCCGAGAGCTGGCCAGCGGCACCACGGCCAATCAGAAGGCCGAGATATCCAACTGGGCGCCTACTTCATACTGCGAACTGCATCGTCCAGCCAAACATCGCGAGGCCTGGCCGTGACCCATGAACTCAAAGCCGCCGTGTGGTGATTAGGTCCTAGTCATATAATGAAGCTACCTGCTCCTGCCGCGCCATTGCCCTCCTGCTTGTTTCGTGTTTCCAGGCGTAGTTGAACGAATCTCGGTGGGTGGCTATCCGGTTTCCCTTTTGTTGTTCATTGTGCGCCTATTCACGACTCACAGCCGAGTATTCCCTCTGGGAGAGTTCGTTGTCAATCGTTGTAGCACTTTCTTTGGACCTGCCGTTCCTTCCCTCTTTCCTTCCTTCCCCAAAATATCCACCAGCAATTCTTTCAAGGCCACGCCTTTGTTCCAACTTGACACCCACCTCGACCACGGGAGCCTTTCAGTGATTCGGATTCATTCTTTTTTTTTTCACATACAGAATTTTGCGAGAGGCTCGAGATATTCTCTACCCTCTCAGCGATTCAATTTTATTTCGACTTCGACTTATACGCATTGTCCCTTCAAAGTTGCGATCGAAGTCTTGTTTCCTACACCACCAACATGTCCTCCAACAGGGCCATTGTGCCTCAAAGGCAGCCATACGATCATCGACATGATAACGAGAGAGAAGACTGGGAGGAATGGGAAGATGAAGATGTGGTTACCCCAATCATGGACGATGACCAAGAGCTCATCATGGACAAGACGGCTGCTCCCAGTCCCCTAAGACCAAACAAACCGGCTTCGACGAGATATTCGCAGCCTCGATTCTCAGTTCAAAAGCTGAGGCGCCTCAAGTCCCGCCAGCGACAGAAGGCGCAGAATGCCAAAGCAGGGATCAAGGTGGTAACGGATATGGCAACGTTGCGACAGCAGCAACAGAGCCAACCGAGCCGGGTTCTTGATCTCGAGCAGCCCAAGTTCGTCGACGCAGCAGCATTGAGAGCCCTCGAGGGCTCGCCCAACTCTGCGTCAGTTGGCAACTGGAACTGGCTGAAGATGAAGAAGTCGGACCCAAACGCAAAGTCTCCTCAAAGCGCCGGCCGCAGCCCACTGGAGCAGGACCTATCCCCAAACGACCGTCCGATTGTTATTGGCATCGCGTTGCCGTCTGAGATGGCCGACAGAGAAATTAGTCCTCAAACGGCCGTCATTGAGACGCCGCATGACCTGCCGCCGAAATACACCAACAAGCCTACCACGACGGGCAAGCCAGTCACTTTCACTCCATTGACTCCCTCACAGCAAAGATCTGTGTGGAGTCCAGACACACCAGACACCACCTCCCCTTTCCAGTCACCACACCGCACTTCTAGCATTTATTCTCAAGCAACAGGCCTTGGTGTTGGCGTTGGTGCTGGTGTTGCTCATGACGCTCCTCCTGTTCCTGCAGTGCCTTCTACCTACAAACAACAGGAAAGAGTAGTCAGCGTCGTCCTCAAGAACAGGGATGACGAGGACGATGATGGAGGTAGCCCATGCACCTTGTTTGAGGAGGATGGGACGGCCTCGAACCGACAAAAGCCAACAAAGGCCAAGGAGGCATCAAAGAGCCCAGACAGCGCGGCAACGCAGACTCGTGGTTGGTGGGATCACATTACGACACCCTTTCTGGAGAGGAAGAGTCCTGTTGTCCCACCTCAGAAGAGTGAATCACAGCCAGTCAAATCATCAGCGCATGACGACTGGTGGAGTGAAAAGGGTGCCAGGATTTCGATCTCGGAAACAAAAGCCTTGGAACCTACGGTATTCAAGCCACAGGAAGTTCAACAAGTTATTGTTCAGAGACCAGGCCTTCCAGCATCTCCGAGACCATCACCACGCAATATAGAGGCCCCGATAGTCAGAGTTCCCACTCCGAGAAGGACTCCATCACCACTCATGGACCGACGGGATCCTTCACCTGCATCGTCTTCTCGGTCAGCTACTCCTCGATTGCAACCCCGGTCAGAGAAAACACATCTTGCCGAACCCAGCCCAGCTCCCTCAGAGCAGCCGCCCCCATACTCTCCTCCTCCGCAACAGAAGGCCGTCAGGTATCGAGCTGTCTTTCCCGCGGGGCACCCTTTGCAGGCACTTTACCCCCCATCTCCGGGACCAATCTCGCCAGCCATTAACGGAACAATGAGTTCTCAAGGTGGCATCAACATGACCGACATACCCTTGACACCAGCGCCGAGAGGCAACAGCCCTGCTCCTGGACGACAAGGTCGCCTTCCAGAACGATTTGCTGGCACATTTGTGCCACCGGAACATTTCCTTGCAGCCGAAGGAAATGGCCATCGCGTTGAGCGGCAGCGTCGTCGCCACGAAAAGGAGGAAATCGCAGCCCGCAAAGCTGGAGGTTTCTGGAAAGGTCGTGGGTGCATCCCCGCGAGTGGATGCTATGGTCGCAGCGGTCGTGAAGGCCGAAAGAGAAGACGCGTGTGCCTTGGTGTATGCGGAGCCAGTCTTTTCCTCAGCATTCTCATCATTGTTCTCTGTGTTACCCTCATCCCGCGAAACCACGCATCTGCGCCAGTCGACAGCATCTTTCTCAACCTCACAAACTTCCCTCCGATGCCAACTGGAGTTCTCTCAGTTGTTGGCCCAGACAACACCGCCGCCGTCACTGGCTGCAGCAGCCCTTCGACTGTTTGGAGCTGTGCACTTCCCAAAGAAGAACAGGAATCTGTGGCCCCCAGCCGTCCCAACCAGCCGACTTTCACCATGCAGATCCAGTGGGATAACAACACCCGCAATCTGTGGAATGTGCCCAATGGTGAACCTCCTCGGCCTGGATCTACATCTAGGAAGCGGCAATTGAACCTTGGCGGTATCATAGCCAGGGCTGGGGCACTTATCAAAAGACAGAACCCAGTATTCACCCCCGACCCAGCCCCCCCTTCCTTTGAGGAAATGTATTTCCTCGGAAACACGACAGACGGCATTGTGTCTGATGATAAAGCCGGCGAGCCGACTCCTTTTTATCTCAGCATCCTCAAATCCGCCAGTGAGACTGTCGGCCCTAACGCCCTGGGTAAGCGTCAGAGCTCAGGGAACTCGACAGATGATTTTGGCATTACCCTGCCGGCCCCAGGCCTTGAGGCAGACGGCACCGGAGCCCCTGCCCAGCTTTTCCCACACGCCGTTCAGCAGCCCGTTCGACTGTATGACCGTGGCCTCCCGACTGAGCACTACGGTTTCTACACCTACTTCAAGCGCACCATCTACCTCAAGTCTGTCACCACCCTCAACGGGACAGAAGGCGAGAGCAACGTGCCGCTCGACAAGGACGGCGGATCTCGCAGGAGCGAGGCCAAGTTCCTCGTGACGTGGTCTCAGACACGTTTCCTCGTCCAGATCTGGACGCGCTCGGCGAACACCACGCAGCTCCTCGCCACCCCCGGCACCATGCCGTACCCCGTCACGATCAAGACGGATACACACGGCGGCGAGTCGGGCGAGAAGTTCGTGTGGCACTGGCCCGTGAATGATCGCCAGGGCATCGATACGAGTACACCGAAGCTTCTACCCAATGATATAGGCTTTGGGGGAACGACTGTGAACCCGCGGAAAGATAAGAATGCTTCCTTTGGCGGTTTCGACGGTGGCACGGGCGGCTGCCGGTGCGAGTGGGTTAATTTCATTGCTAGGAGGGACAGCGGTAACTAAAGACGATGAATACTTCACAAGTAACCATGATATTCGAACGTCGGTATGCGTATAAGGGCCGACTTGTATAGGGATACGAACAGGATCATGGAGTTGGAAACGGGAAATATCAGCATTATTAGCATCACTACATTGCATGGATGGTACACGGGAGGAAAAGTATTTCAAGAATGCATGGCAGCTAGAATCTGCCCAGTATCTTAATCAATGAACTATTCCAAAAAAACTCATGTATCGGGAACAGTAACACACGCGCAAGCGCATTCTCCAGTAGAGCATGAAATCGTGTACAGGATGCGTACCGAGTCCTTGAGATCTTGACCTCTGCTTCAAGCCACAGTGCCCTTCCTCACAAAAGCAGAAGGAGACTTATCCGGGAACAGGTTTCTTGACAGACTGGCAGGGTTTCTCTTCTCTCATTGGAATAACTAAAATGGTTCGGGGCCTGGGCGATATACCAGGCGTTGTGCTGGCGTGCTCGAATCTCAGCTTGGTGTGGAAGCGTGTAAGTCGGTGAGCACTCGGTGAAGACGGCCGATAAGATTATAACTGATAAGATAAGAGCTCCGGAACTTCTCATCAGCGCATCGCGACCCTCCTCCTACGAAGCAATTCCCAACACCAATGTCCACACAAAAACCCCCTCAATGCGCCGACATCCCCTCACGATCCTCCAAAGATGGCGTGCCCCATCTCTTATCCCCCATCGAACCGTTCACGGTAACCCGGCAGCCACCCCAGCATCGCATGTGCGGCCGGCACTCTTTCGACAACGAAACCAACACCAGCACCGCACCCTCCTGACCCTCGCAATCGAAACCTCGTGCGACGACACCTGCGTCGCCCTCCTCTCCAAAGACCCCGGCCCCCTCGGCCGCGCAACCCTCCACTTTCACCGCAAAATCACATGCGACAGCACGGCCTACGGCGGCGTCTACCCGCCCGTCGCCCTACGCTCCCACGACGCCTCACTCGCGCCCCTCATCGCCGAAGCCCTCTCGTCTCTGCCCCCGGCCACCGAAGCAAAAGCTCGAAGCCACGATGACGGCGACGTAATACAAGAAGGAGTAAAAGGGGGAGGTCGCACTCTCGCACGAGAGGTCGGTTCATTACGCAACAACACGCTCACAGTTGCCGGCACTCTGCGCCAGAAACCCGACTTCGTGACGGTGACCCGCGGCCCCGGCATGTCCGCGAACCTCGCCTCCGGGCTCTCAACGGCAAAAGGCCTCGCGACAGCCTGGCAGGTACCGCTCCTGGGCGTGAACCACATGCAAGCCCACGCCCTCACCCCGCGTCTCGTCTCCGCGCTCGCCCGCCAGGACCCGACGACATCTACAGCGTCCTCGTCCACCTCCTCCCCAGCGACACCCGATGCCACCGCTATAAAACCAGAATACCCCTTCCTCACCCTCCTAGTCTCCGGCGGCCACACCCAGCTAGTCCACTCCCGCTCCCTCACATCCCACCGCATACTCGCCTCCTCTGACAACATCGCCGTGGGCGACGCCCTTGACAAGGCCGCTCGCCATATCCTCCCGCCAGACATGCTAGCATCTCACGGAGACGTCATGTACGGCGCCCTCCTCGAACGCTTCGCCTTCCCCGACTCGTTTCCCTCCTCTACATCGCCATCAGACCCCCCAAGCCAGCACGACTACGACTACAAATACACCCCTCCTCTCCGCCGCGTCGACGAAATCGCGCCGTACACCGCTCCCCCGCCCTACTCCTGGACCCTCCACCCTCCCCTCTCCACCTCCCGCGCCCTATCCTACGAGTTCAACGGTCTAGGCAGCGAGGTCCGCAGAATCGCCACAGCAAAAGGCGACTCCATGTCCCTCGAAGAACGACGGACCCTCGCCCGCGCCACCATGCGTCTCCTATTCGAACACTTGGCCACTCGCATCTTCCTCGCCCTCGCCGCCGAGCCGGAGCTGAAAGATGCACTGAAAACACTCGTCGTAAGCGGCGGGGTCGCAAGCAACCGCTTCCTCATGCACGTGCTGCGGAAGATGCTCGATGTCCGCGGGTTCGGGCACTTGGAGATCACGGCGCCACCGCCGGCGTTGTGTACGGACAATGCGGCTATGATTGCATGGAGTGGCATGGAGATGTATGAAGCTGGCTGGGAAAGTTTGCTTTCCGTACATCCCGAGCGCAAGTGGTCGATTGACCCTGCTAGCGAAGAGGGTGGGATCCTGGGTGTCCCTGGATGGAGAAGAAAAGAACATTAAAAGCTCATGATACCCAGTTCTTGTTTTAACATCACCTGTAATAACAATGCAGAAGACGCATGAGAATGAACTTGTATCATAATCTAGTGTACAAGTTACACAACAACTGCACTCTCCCTTGAGAGTACGGATGTCGAAAGGGAAAACCTGACAAGCCATGCTCGATTCTGCGATTGCGCTCGATTTGCCTGTCGTAACCGTTCTATTCATTCGTGTGCAAGGAAGTACCACTGTCTTGTCTCCTTGCATGTCATAGTGATAGGTGAGATACATCGCTCTGGCCCGGCAAAAGCGGCACCGGAGCGAGGTTCGGTCTCAGGTCGCCTGAAGACCGGCTGAACGCGGTATTCTGGAGGGAGCTCCATAACACGTATGATTTCAGCGGCACCAAGTCACTGTCCTTCTCCACCGACATCTAGTCCAAGTCGGCAGTAACGTTGGTGAATTCGCCCTTCTCCAGCTTCGTCTTCCAGAAGATGGGATTCGTGTCGTTGAAGCCATGCTTGACCCAGCCCTCCTCCTTGACGTGGTAGAGGTTGATGAAACCACCAGAGTAGGCGTCACGGTGCGTAGCGGCAAGGATACTTCGGCTACCGAGGTCGAGAGCTTCTTGGTCGGTCAAGTCGTAGCGGTACTCGGCGTCCAGAACACCGTAGGCGAAAGTCTGACCACTGCCGACACAGAAGAGGTTGCCAGGCAGGCGAGTGCCGTCCGAGTCGACGTAGTACAGAGCGGGGCCCTCCTCCTTCGTTACGCCGGCACACATGGTACCCATGCTGAGGCCCATGCCCTTGTACGAGTAGACGAGGTTGGCGAGAATCTTGGACGCCGCGGCGACAGAAATGCGGCGCTTGTGGCGGAGTTCGTGGAGGCGGCACTGCATGCCCAACCATGCGAGCCAGTACTGACAGTCAGCGGCACCGCCGGCCATGGTGCCCAGAAGCACCGAGTTGATCTCAATGACCTTCTTGACCGTTTGCGAAGCAATCCAGTTTCCAGCAGTAGCACGGGAGTCGGTTGCGACGATGATACCGCCTTGGAAACGGAAGGCGAGGGTCGTTGTGCCGTGGGCAATCTTGATGGGGCAGTCGGGGTTGGCTCGGTCGTCTGTTGCTGCACGGAGCCAGGATGAGGGCTGGATTGAGGGGTTCCAATGTTAGTCTGATTGTGCATCTCAGGTTCAAACGGAAAACCAGTCAAGAGATAGACTCACATGTGCGACTGGGGGCATAGCAAACTTCAATGACAGCGGCGGCGCTCCGCCCAGCAGCTCAAGGTCCTCCTGCTCATCGTCTCTGAAGGTGTTGTGTTGCTCGAACGCCGGGCGGCTGTACTTGGCCACAAGGCTGTCCATCTCGGCGGTCAGCAGGCGGGGAAGTCTGTCGAAATTATTCGGTCGGTAAGGTGTGATGAGGGTAGAGAATTATTTCTGAGCGGGCTCTCGTTGGTGTTCGTGGAAGTGTTGGGCTTGGTGATGATTGGAATGGAGATGGGGTTCTTTGACGTTGACCTGGGGGATAGCTCAGGCAGCTCCATGCTCGCGTCACGGCCAGCTTCAGCAGGGAAAGTGCGTACTAAGATGATTGATGCCTTGTTGCCTGATTCGGAAGGGGCAATTGCTGCAGGTACGAAGACACCTCAGCAACTTGGTCCGTGTGTCCGTGTACATCTCAAGCTTACATAAGGTGCCGGGTGTCCATCCTACGACGTGCCTACCTACATTGAAGGGCGATAGCCTCTGCCAGAGCTCGAGCATGGTGTAAGTAATTTCAACACTCCTCGTTCTCAAAACCCGTACTCTCCACAAAAATGATAATATCTCTGAAGTATGCTCTTAATTGCCAGAATTCGATATCAATCAACTTACCGAACGAATACCGTACCTCCCTAACTGATTACCATCTTCGAGCTTCCCGTCCGATGTACCCGCCCTGCTGGCCGGAGATAGGTACCTTAGCAGGGGTCTAAAGTGATCACGTGGCTGTAGTGATAAGATAACGCGACTCAAACAGGGTCGAAAATCCACCTCAGCTAAACCAAGGAAAGCGATTCCACCATCATCCAACACTACCACTTGCGACGGCGAGCGCCATTTCACCCATGATCAGCCTCTCACATCAACTCTTACCAATCGCCGACTTGAAAGTATCACAATAACTTCGCGGCGATGGCTAGTATCGATCGCTACCGGCCTTCGAGAGAGGCCTACCAGCCTCCCACACTCCCCCCGGGTCCTCCACGACCAGACCGGCAATCCAAATCTCCTGCGCGTCGCCTTGAAGTGCCGCCTGCAGCTCCATCTCCTCCGACACATTCATCGCGGACCTCGCCTCCGCACCCCCATTCTCAACGAGACATGCGTTCGCCACAGCGCTCAAGAGCGCAATCACCAGGACCTCCGCCCAATCAGTGGTACTTCACCCCCGACGAGACCTTGAGCACACCGAGTATCCTAGATGGCATTTCGCCAGCAGAGGAGCGCCTAAGACGCGCGAAGGGTGTCAACTTCATATACCAGGCCGGAGTTCTTCTTGACCTGCCCCAAATCACCCTTTGGGTTGCAGGTGTCTTCTTCCACCGGTTCTACATGCGATACAGTATGGTAGAAGAGAAGGGCGGCATCCATCACTACGTGAGACATACCTCTGTTCAATCCCCTGTTTAACGACGATCGTGGTTGTGTCTTATGAGTGTCAGGCGCAACCCGCACTTCCCAGATCCAAACGAGGGACCCAAAAGGCTCAAGCTGAACCAATGCTGACGGAATCGACTGAACAGAATATTGCCGCCACTGCGCTCTTTCTCGCGAATAAGACAGAAGAAAACTGCCGGAAGACGAAGGAAATTATCATTACAGTGGCAAAGGTCGCCCAGAAGAACCCTAAGCTGATGATAGATGAGATGAGCAAGGAGTACTGGCGATGGAGAGACAGCATTCTCATGTACGAGGAGTTGATGCTGGAATACCTCACATTCGACCTCATGGTGGAAAATCCTTACCAGCGTCTCTTCGAGCTTCTCGGCCAACTCGATATTGTCCACAACAAGCATCTGAGGCAGTCGGCCTGGGCGTTCTGCAGCGACGCCTGCCTCACTTCCATCCCTCTGCTGCTCGAAGCACGCGACGTTGCCATCAGTGCCATCTTCTTCGCCAGTATACACACACAGCAAAAGATCGAAGACGTCAACGGCGAACCGTGGTGGAGGGCGCTGAAAGGAAACGAGGACAAGTGTGCCAAGGCCATTGACATTGTCCGCCAATTCTACACTGAGAACCCGCTCCGGAAACAGAACCCGTCCTTGCCATCGCCGGCCTTTGACCTGGCCAATACTAGACAGCCGAGGGATCCGATGAGCCAAGACGCCCTCTCGTCTACAGCAGGCACGCCTTTTGAGCTGGACAGAGGAACACAGAGCCCAAGAGCTCGGGCTAATGGCCGCGACGATGTCACTAATACCGAGTCTGGGTCGCAGGCCACGCTTAAGGAGCCGGAGAGAGCAAATGGCAACAGTCTGACGTCCCCAGGAAAGAGGAAGGAAGTTGACTCGGATTCCGAGGGCAGAGAACAGAAACGAGCACGACTCTCCGATGAAGATGAAGGGGAGGTTTTGGACTAGGAGCTCTACCTTAACCTGTAACATTGTAATAATTCTACGGACCACGGGCGTTGGAGGTCCATCGCATTTCAAGGCAGGTATTCGGACAAAGCGTCGATGGGAACAAGACGACGCTTATGTAGCATATTGGTCATGCTCTCAAGGCGCCTCCAAGCGCAAACATCCTGGTTTGTGCAAGAGTCACAGCACGCTTTCAGAGATACGGCGTTCATAGGGCGGTAGTTTTGCAGAGGTCATGACGCAAGCGATACTTTGCAAAGTTAGGGAATACCTTGGTAGTGATTACAATTCATAGCGAATGCATCATTCCTAAAGTCAAACATTGCTGCAAACTGAGAGGGTAGCAGGCCACGGTATAGGAATTGTTGAGCTACGTCTCGGCTCTCGATGAAGTCCTTCCGTCCTGCCCGTCTTACGATTGATTGCATCATCCAAGAAATCCATCACGTCCACCATATTGTCTAGAGCGAGTAGTGTTGCTCTCTCCTGTCGATTCAGCAAAGCACGCTTGTCGGGACCCATACCTGGTCCGCACATCTCGTGGAGGTGATGCTGAACGAGCTTCACTGGCATCGGGGCGCGGACGACATGGCGCATGAAGCATTCGACAGCCTCCCACTGACAAGACTCGAATCCGGCGTAAAGAGCAGGGTTTGCGAGGATACCCCGGGCAGACATGAGACCTGCTAGCTTGGTGCCACTGGGGGTGAAGTCTGTGTAGCCATTGTGGTCGTTGATCGTTGTGGGTCCTGAAGGTTCTTCTGGGGCTTTGGAAACTGTTGAGAGAGGCAATGTTGCCATGGAGAAGACATCGCCGGATAGGAGAATTGGGAGCGTATCGCCGTACTTCTCGAGGAGAGTACCAAGAGATTCGGTGTTAATAGGGGTAGTGGACGCCGTGTGACGGGTACGGGGGTGGATCGTCAAGAAGTCGATGTTGCGGTTCAGGGGGTTGCCAATGACGGTGTCGATGAAGTCCATCGTCTTCCTAAGTAATGGAGCATGTGAGTCAGCGGAGAACGATTCTGTAGAGGATGGCTCCGTAGATAATGTGAGCGAGAAACTCGGGGGGTAAGGTTCACTAACCTCAAGTCCTTGTGCACACGGATCTTGACGCTGACGCTCCTCCCCTTTGGACTGTCGATATCCCGCTCCTTACCAACATGCCAGCCATCACTAGCTAAGCGTTGACGAGTCTCAATGACCATGTCTCGCACGAGCTCGCGCTGCTCCATGAGAGCGGCACCAAGGGTCTCTGCACAAGCCCATGACTGAGGGCACCCGCAGTTGAGGTCGACACCGTTGATAAAAGGGGCGGCAAGAGATGATGAGCGGGCGAGCTCAAGAGGGCTGTTTGCGCCAAACTGAACTATCGTGGGGGGCTGTACTCCACGAGTAGATATTGTGAGATCTTGGTATATTGTTTAGCCCGTGAAAACCTAGCGGAGTGAGGCGCACATGAGTCAACGAACCACTATCACGGGCAAAGTTGTTGCGATTGAACTCCTTCGACAGGATCATGGGTGTCCAGCAGAGATCGGTGCCGTATTCGTGGACGGTTTGACGGAAAGCGAGCTGTGGCATTATGAGTCAACGATCTTCTTGTCTTGAGACATCGAAGTTTAACTACCTTACTGTACCTCACCATAGGAGCTGAGACGTTCAGAAATCTATCCTGGCTCTTGGCAGCATCGAATATTTTCAGAGGACTACGTAAAGTGACTTAATGTTAGTCACCTTGACTCATAGTGATTGAAATGTAAGTCTCGAAACCCACTGTGTCCTATCTGAAATAGTTCCGTTATAGAGGTCGGCCGCCATGGCGTCAATACGAGCACCCACGAAAGTGAATGAGTGTTGAAATGGCCGAGTTGAGATTGGATGAGAAACGTGGATGAGTCGAGTCGGGACTCACTCACAACCTAATGGAACGTTGAAGGCGCCTGCAGTGAAGAATTACAGCGGTTCTTAGTGGAGCAGGGGGGGCCTGTGCCGTCCAACCCAGATGGGCGATCCTCACCTGGGCTGTCATAGTGGGGGTGGGGCTCTCTGGTGACGATAACGGCGGGGTGATTTTTCACCGCCTGCCCAATGAGGCAGAAACCTGTAAACTTCCTGCGTCAAAACTTTGCTCTACCCCAGCGATGTGCTTGCATTAATGAGTCGTTTCTCCCCTCGGGAAACACTCTCTCCACCCGTCTTTTTACCTGGACTATTCCTTCTTGCTGCCTTGCTTCCACTCACCTCCGCATTCTCGCCATATCAACCTCAGAGTCGATTCTCACAATGGTCAAGAAGCCCGTTATCGGCCTCCTTGGAGGCGGCCAGTTGGGCCGAATGTTGTGCGAGGCCGCGGGGCCCCTCGGCATCGATATCGCGATTCTGGACGAGGCCAATTGTCCTGCGAAGCAAGCCAACCAAAACAGCCGGCACGTCACGGGCTCCTTCAAGGACCCGGCCAAGATCAGAGAACTGGCTGCCATGTGTGACGTCCTCACTGTCGAAATCGAGCACGTTAACACTGAGGTTCTCGAGGAGATTGCGACTCGCGGTGTCATCACTGCGCCGGGCACCGTCAAGAAAGTGCCTTGTCACCCTCATTGGCAGACTCTACGCTTGATCCAAGACAAGTACTTGCAAAAGGAGCACTTTGCCAAGGGCGGTCTCCCCATTGCCCCTCAGATGGCCATTGAATCCGGCCCTGCTATGCCTGAGAGCCTCACGGCCGCTTACAGGGCATTCCAATTTCCATTTATGCTGAAGGCGAGAAAGGGCTCGTATGACGGCCGTGGTAACTTTAAGGTTAGAGGCCCGGAGGACTACGAGGAGGCTATCCAGACGATGGGTAAGCTCTCACTCTACGCTGAGAAGTGGGTGCCTTTCGAGATGGAGCTGGCTGTCATGGTTGTGCGGACTGAGGATGAGGATGGCGAGCTGAGAAAGGTCCATACTTATCCGGCCGTTGAGACTATTCACGAGGAGAGTATCTGCACCAAGGTGTACTACCCGCCCCGCCAAGTTAGTGCGGATGTGTGTGAGAAGGCACGCCAGGTGGCTGGAGATGTTATCAAGACGGTGAAGGGCAGAGGTGTCTTCGCTGTGGAGATGTTCTTGCTGAAAAACGGTCAGTAGGCTGAGATTCAAAACCTGGGGGATCAACTAACTTAATAATAGGCACCATTACCGTCAACGAGGTTGCTCCCCGTCCTCACAACTCAGGCCACTGGACTATCGAGGGTGTACCCTACATGTCGCAGTACAAGGCGCAACTCCACTCCATCTTGGACATGCTCCCGCGATCTATCAAGCTGCAGCCTCGCGTCTCTGGCGCTCTGATGCTCAACATTCTCGGCGGTGCCCGTGAAGACTCCCACGACGAGTTAGTCGACTTGACCACGTCCTTGTACGATGACAACATGGACGTTTTCCTCCACCTTTACGGCAAGTCGTCCAAGCCGGGCCGTAAGATTGGACACATCACTGTGACGACTCACTCTGCCAACTCTAGCTTGGAGAGGCTAGCAGCGCCTCTGATCAAGGAAGTGAACTACATGCGCGAAGCGCGACTTGATGCTTCTTCAGACCAACTCCGCCCGCAAGACTCCCCTGCCAAGAAGACCAGCTCCCGGAACACCGATAAGCCCTTGGTCGTTGTTACCATGGGCTCTGACTCGGATCTCAACGTCTTGAAGGGTGCCTTTGAGATTCTCGAGCATTTCGATGTTCCGTATGATCTCGACATCACATCTGCTCACCGTACGCCCCACCGCATGGTTGAGCTTGGAAAGACCGCCGCGCAGCGTGGCATCAAGGTCTTGATCGCAGCTGGTAAGTCTACGTATGATCATTGACCCTTTGGGGATGATGCTAACATAACCAAAGCCGGCGGTGCTGCCCATCTTCCAGGCATGCTGGCATCTGAGACAACAGTGCCGGTCATCGGTGTACCCGTCAAAGCCACTCACCTCGACGGCCACGACAGCTTGTTGAGCATCGTCCAAATGCCTCGCGGCTGCCCCGTGGCAACGGTCGGTATCAACAACTCGACCAACGCTGCCCTTCTCGCAGTCAAGATTCTCGGATCGTCTAATCTCGAGTACCAGCAAAAGATGGCTCAGTACATGAGCAACATGTCCCGGGAAGTTGAGCACAAGGCTGCCGAGCTGAAAAGGTTAGGCCCTATTGCGTACCTCGAGAACAAATAAGGGAGGGTGAAGAGAATTTCTTAGCATGTGTGGAACTTCAGTCCACATTTGGACAGCATTGATTGATACCAGCAAAGGCGTACATAGGGGAGTTAGAAAATAACAGATAAGGGGCAGTCACTAAAAGGACCCAAACGTTGAATCCCGGGATGATGCTTCACTGCCGTACTATATATCACCTTAGCTGTCGTGAGAGTGAGAAGGGGCTGTTTCGTCAAACAATTTTCGGGGAGATGCATGAGGACTCGCCGTTGGGATATGGCCAAACACTGGGAAGGCGACGTGTGTTACTGCTTGAAACAGGAACGGGAGTAAGTGTGAACCTACAACTCAAACACTGAGTAACACATGCCGATTGTCCTTGTGTGGAAATGACCTCTTGCTTCGGAGACTATCGTAGTGCCTTCTAGGTCTGATGATGATTGACCATGAACAATGGGCCATCTATCATTTTCCTTCGGGAGTCAGATATCGAGGGCAATGACTTAGAGCATTCGATTACTATTCTTTCCACTCGGGAAGTATGTAGTCTGAGTCTCGAGAACGATTCCATGGATGATCACCGGGTCACCCAGAAACAAACCGTTGGGATCAAACCCACCTCGTGCTACGTATCTTCATCTTGATTCCCTCTTTTCACTTGACTTTTTATGTTCCAACCATAGACCTTGCTGAAGACGGCCTCGTTTTTGTGATTCGTATTCGATTGGCATGCCCAGGAATGTGTGATACGAGAAGGGGCTGTCTCACTCAGGCGTGGCGATCCCTAACAGTCTGACTTTCATCAAGGAAGGAACCTCGTGACTATTTAGGAAGAATCAAAGTGCAAAAGCGAGGCAATAATGACGGACGATATGATGACCAGGAGTCTGCCATGGCTTATGTCTCAGTGCGACGTGTGTGGTCCCTCCCCGCGTTCCTACTGACACGTTCTTGACTTAAACGACGTGAGGGGAAGACAGATGGCCAAGTCGGGCAGGTAGAAGGGGTCAAAATAGTTTCTGGGCACTACTAGAAATCAGTACTAGAAATCAGAGAAGAAGGAATCGGCAGTACCTATGCTCGTTGCTATTCATAACTTTTGCACGTTGCGAGGCTTGGTGCCTCTTTTTGCATCCCAAGACGAACATCTCTCGCAAGATACGAGATGACGTTCCTTCGAACATACGTCTCAAGGATCATCAGACTGATGTCATTAATCGCCGACTACCAAGCGGTGAGCAGAAGCTCTCACAGCAAGCTGCCACCTGCCTGGAACCCACCTGAGGCGACATTCCTCTAAACGGTGAAAGGGGGTTGTGGCCTCTCAAACCATGTTTGTTGGTTCCACACTCCTGAGAGCATTACTGAGAGCATTACACACACTTGGGAGCTTTGGTACCTAGTCAATATGGTCCGGTCAATGATTCTAATGCGTGAGTTCGGAATATTTCCTGGCCGAGCTAATGCCTACTCTAATACTACCCGCAGATGACCCTGCTCGCCACGGGGCGCTTCTCTGAGCAGACGGACCGAAGCACCGCCCTGATCGTTTTGATCCGAAGGACCGGATGCGACTTGCAAAGCGACTGGGAGATCACCGGTCCAAATCTATCCGCGGAGACCGTTCGCTGACAAGGTGGTCCAGATCGACGCCCTCCTGAAACAAGCGCCTTGGCAGGAATATGAAAATCCGGGGCCTCGACGGGTAGTACTACCTTGACGTCGGCTCGCTCCGGTGACTTCTTCTGGAAACTGGCTACTGGATAACTTGAGAGTTTCTGCGAATTGGCCTAGACAACTTCGAGAACATCACCCGCATTTTTATGTATAAGCCAATGTAAGAGGTCCAGGCCTGGGTATTGCGTAGAAAGATCCTATCCTTCTCCTCGGACACGATCGATAAGGATGGTAATCACAACCCACAGAAAACCGTTTTCTGTCCTATTCCGTCACCCGCAAATCTCTCTGAAGCTGAAGAGTATTACGAACAAAGGTCGTGTGTCTGTATGACCCTCTAGCCCCCCGCAATCCTATCCATTCATCCCTTTGATTCTCGGGAGCGAAAACCTGCTAACCTTTTTGCGGCACTGCAAATGGAATTCGGACTGTTCGAAAACAGCCCGAGGAGTAAGACATCGACTTCACCGTCGATCCTAGATCATCGGGGAGCCGTCCTCTACCCTTCCGGCTTGATCCTGCGGCGCACACTAATTCGGCAGCTCCCAACCGGATGCGCTCACTATCCCATTCATCGCAGCCCTGGGGTGATCTGCGCTCGGGTCTAGCATGTCTCCTCGTCTCTTGGCGATCATTCCAAGAATGATGAGGTGACCACTCTGCCACCGACTCGAGGTTATCGTGGAATGAACTACCAAAACGGGGCTGCGTCTGCTGAGGCTGGGCAGGGCGAACCAAGCTCGCCTGCGGCCGAGAGAGTCACAAACCTACATGCGCTAGTGTCCGTCTTCCCGTCTTGGTGGCTACCCTTCATGACGGAGATCGGAGAGCTCGCCGGCCCGTACAACCTCGAGGCAAACTTGGGAACATATATAGCAACCTTGATGTCTGGCTTTGTTAAAACATTTAACTCCGGTACAGCTGATATCACCCATTCAACAACTGTCCCTCTACATCTCAAGCTACATCACACAGCACTGCAGAGATTCTGATATCCTTCCATAATTCACAGGCATCACACAAACAAGAGTCAAGATGCTCTCAAACAACATCCTCACAATACTGGCCATCGTCAGCCTCTCAGCCGCCCAGATCCAAGTCCCGCCCTCCAACGCCGCCGACTGCCCTCGCACAATGTGCCTCGACGGCATCAACCCAGAATGCGGAATCAGATGGGGAGGCTGCTACGACATGTGCCAGCCGCAAATGAGGCCCACCATGCCGCCTTGCAAGTCCACGCTGAGCAAGTCGACAATCTCGAGGACGTCCAAGCCCCCGTTCACGAAGCCCACTCGGCCCAGCTTACCGGTGCCCACGCGCAGCCCGACAATCACGCGAGCGCCGCCTAGCTTTAGTCCCCTGCCCGCGATGTCGATCGACAGCTGCAGCACGCGTACCGTGTGTATTGATTACATCAACGAGTGCGGACAGTGGTATGGCGGGTGAGTTTTGCTGCTTCCCTTATGCCGCTTCACATGTCCGGTATGAACTTTTCATGTTTGCTGACTTGCGAAAAAAAAAATGTAGATGCCACTCCGTTTGCCAGCCCTGGCCGTCGTACTCCAAGCCTCTGTGCACACCCACGCCCAGCTTGACTGTCGACCCTTCCACGTTACAAACCGACTACTAAGGACTCTCGCCAACGCTCTAAAAGTTTATGAATGGGATGAAAGGAGTAGCGACCGATCGAGATGACGTTTGATGATCCTGTATAATGACTAGATAATTCCCTTCACTGTACATATTAGCTATCAAGTCCCAATAAGGGTACTTCAGTCTCTTACGCAATGATACAGCCTTTGCAGTTACGATTCTTGTAACGTCCTCGTGTTCTCTTTGCCTCATACATGGTGAATTGCCCAGCACTGTCCGACGAAGCGCCGAGGAAAACGAGAAAAGGCAACCCAAGTGTAGTCTTTGAACAAAATGAATTTCTCCTCCTACTTTACACGTTTTTAACTCCAGAGCCAAAGCCCAAAAGCCTGCGGTGTATGCACCAGCCCTAATAGCCTGATTCCAAAGGGTCCAGGTAGCGATATCCCCCACGCGGCTCACCCACGATCATTAACTAAATTGTTGCCGTGGTATTACGATTGCCTTTGATATTGCCTTCAGCCACTCTCTGACCCTCCCCCTCGTCTTCGTCTTTCCTTCTCCTCGCATAACCGAATTTCCAACCAACACCCGACACCGGTTCTAATCATAACAGGTTTAGTACACACGCTTGAAGGGAGGAACAGCCTTGCACTCGTTCTCGTCCAGAGTGTTGGCAATGACGCCACGGTAGCCGAGGTCGACCTTGCCGTGTGGGCTCTTTTGGAAGGAAAGGGTGTGCTTCATCCAGTTGACGTCGTCACGGTCGGGGAAGTCCTCGCGAGCGTGAGCACCACGGGACTCCTTACGGGCGGCGGCGGAAGTGGCGGTTTGGGAACTAGTAATGGTTAATTAGCGTCTTCATGAGAGAAGTGGTGTTTAGTGGAACTTACGCGCAGGTTAACAGGTTGCGGAGCTCAAGGGTCTCAACTAAGTCAGAGTTCCAGATCATGCTCTTATCCTTGATGGAAACATCAGGGAACTGAGCGTCAATCTCGGTCATCTTGCGAACACCCTCGTCCAGAGACTCCTGTGTTCTGAAAACGCTGACCTCAGTCTGCATAGCCTTCTGCATAGACAGACGAACGTCGGAGGTGGTTCTGCTACCCTCGCGCGTGCGAACGTCATCCAGAGTCTCAATGGCCTCAGCACCAGCATCAGCAGCCAAAGGCTTGTGCTTGGTACCAGGGGTGAACTTGTCACGGATGGTGTGGGAAACGGCACGGCCGAAGACGACCAAGTCGAGAAGAGAGTTGGCACCCAGACGGTTGGCACCGTGGACGGAGACACAGGCGGCCTCACCGCAGGCGAACAGACCAGGGACGACCTTGTCGTTGCCGGACTCGTCAACAGTGATAACCTCACCGGTGTACTTGGTAGGGATACCACCCATGTTGTAGTGGACGGTGGGCAGAACGGGAATAGGCTGAGTGCGGACGTCGACACCGGCGAAAATGCCGGCTGTCTCGGAGATACCGGGCAGACGCTCGTGGAGGACCTCGGCGGGCAGATGGCTGAGCTGCAGGAAAATGTGATCCTTCTCCTCACCCACACCACGTCCCTCGCGAATCTCCATGGTCATGGAACGGGAGACGACGTCACGGGAAGCAAGATCCTTGGCGGTGGGGGCGTAACGCTCCATGAAGCGCTCACCCTCGGAGTTCAGAAGGTAACCACCCTCACCACGAGCTCCCTCAGTGATCAAGCAGCCAGCGCCGTAGATACCAGTGGGGTGGAATTGGACGAACTCCAGATCCTGGTTAGGAAGACCAGCACGAGCAACCATGGCCATACCGTCACCAGTGCAGGTGTGGGCAGATGTGCAAGAGAAGTAGGCACGTCCGTATCCGCCAGTAGCCAAGACGGTGTGGTTAGCAAGGAAACGGTGCAGAGTGCCGTCCTCCTGGTTGTAGGCGACGACACCGCGGCACTCGCCATCCTGCATAATGAGGTCGAGAGCGAAAAATTCGATGAAGTAGTTGGTGTTGTGACGGAGAGACTGTCCATAAAGAGTGTGGAGAAGAGCGTGACCGGTACGATCCTCAGCAGCGCAGCATCTGTAAGCCTGTCCACCCTTGCCGAACTTCTGGGACTGACCACCGAAAGCACGCTGGTAACTATAGACCGAGGTATATTAGCATCTGCGGAGAGCTAGAGCATTTGAGCACTTTTACTCACATCTTGCCATCCTCGGTTCTGGAGAAGGGGCATCCGTAGTTCTCGAGCTCGACAATGGAGGCGGGCGCCTCACGGGTCATGTAGTGAATAGCGTCCTGGTCACCGAGCCAATCTGAACCCTTGACGGTATCGTACATGTGCCATCTCCAGTCGTCCTCGTGCATGTTTCCGAGAGCGGCGTTGATGCCACCCTGAGCGGCGACAGTGTGACTTCTGGTAGGGAAAAGCTTTGAAATACAGGCAGTGTTGAAGCCAGCCTCTGCGAGACCGAACGCGGCACGCAGACCAGCACCACCGGCACCGACAACAATGGCATCGTACTCATGGTCGACGACGGGGTACTTGCTAGAAAGGTAGGGGGAAGCCTCCTTTGCGCGGAGGTGCTGGTTCGCGTAAATCCGCGCGGCGGATCTGGTCGTGGAGAATGCGCGCGCCTGTGAGAACTGGGATTGCCAAGTATTAGTTCTACTGATCAAGCCGAGGCCCTGTCTAGATGCAGAGTCGGATCAAAGGAGCGACATACAGTAGGCTTGGCAGCAAACCTCCTCAACGCCATTGATGAGGCCATGATTGATGTGTGCACTATCTCGCAGTGTCAGTATTCGTATCGGTCGCGGTTGTGTGTTTTCCGTCTCGAGTTGCGGGAGGCGAAGGGGGGGAGGCGAGGATGGCTGAAGATGTTGGGTTGAAAGCCGCTCGTGTGTGCACGGGTGGATGGATAAATCAGTACTGACCGTTAAGGTATCGGAAGACGGAAGAGAGAGGTCAAGCCTGAAATTAAGTTGTTAGTAAAATGGTGCCAGAGGTACCTGGAACTTGGAATACTAACCGTCGAATTGAATTGGTCTCCAAAACGAGGTGGTGTCTCTATGTGATGGATAGACCTCCTACCAGTGTATGGAGAAAAGTACGGAACAAACCACGGCAAACCTCGCACACGTCTTCTGCAATAAGTCAGCTCGGCACCTCGGGTAATCACACTGTCGGTGATTGGCCAAATCAGCTATGGCTAGTGGGCTTGTGCCACAACCAACGACAAGCCACAGTTGGTTTCCGGGGCATAGTTCACATGCAAAGTCCCGTCAAATTCCGAGATCGATTCCGGGGTATCATCAGTGCGACCGGATGAAAGCTTAGCCTTCGTTGATCAACCGCCCGAAACTCGAGGTTCTATTCTTAACAGACAGTCAACTACCAAAAGTCAATGTCTCTTGTTGATGCGGTCAATCATTGTCTCTATAATTTGACATTCCTGTTTAATTGACTTGTTGGCAACTTGTCAGTTCGCGTGCTAAATTGCGTACGGGTGCTCTTTGCCCGTTCCCGAGTGGCATTGCCGAGGTGCGGGTGGAACTGGGTCTCTTTGTCGATGGGGAGGAGAAAGTCCATGACTTCACGACGAGAATCGCCCATCGTCAGCAGTTCTACTTTGCCACACTTTCAAACAGCACAGAGCCTCGGTAGTAAACCACAGTTTCAACTAAAAAGAGAACGTGACTCTATACTGACTATTGAAACACCAACCAAAAAGACTTTTTCTGTCTTCAACTGAGTACTTGCCAGTAAGGCGACTCGATTATGCGCAGAGATCTGCGACTGGAGCATTTGCCCCACAATAACTTTCGCGCTGCAGAAGTGAAGTGTTGAAAATAGTAATTTAGGGTTACTCTAGGTATCTATGGTAAAGCCACCCCGTTGCAAACAAATCTACCGTGGCAACTCACTGGTATCGCGCTCTCTGCGCCCTCCTCAATTGGCTCGCTCCAAAACGAGCCATAACAATCTCGGCCCTAGGCCCTGCCTCTCATCTCGTCGCTCAGGCACTTTCGGACACAGGGCCAAACTCCTATGAGTTACTGCGGGCTGACGAAAACAAAAGAAAGCCTGAATTCAAAGTCCCCTTTTAGTGTGTCCAAGGAGTTCAAACTCCAGCCATGCTCATAAAGTACACACTACCTAGTATACAGCCAATATCGCGCCGCCCAAGATTATGATTCCAAACGTAGACCCCGCAGCTTCTCTAGCTTCTTAGAAAGCCATCTGCTTCTTAATCTCGGCAATAGCCTTGCCGGGGTTCAAGCCCTTGGGGCAGGCACGTGTGCAGTTGAGAATCGTGTGGCAACGGTACAAGCTCATCGAGTTGTCGAGGGCAGCCTTGCGCTCGGCCTTCTTCTGATCGCGAGAGTCGGCGAGCCAGCGGTAGGACTGGAGGAGGATGGCGGGTCCCAGGTACTCCTCAGAGTTCCACCAGTAAGACGGGCACGAGGTTGAGCAGCAGGCGCAAAGAATGCACTCGTAGAGGCCGCTCAACTTCTTTCGGTCGGCGACGCTCTGGCGGTATTCCTTGCCCTGTATTGGAGGTCAGCTGGGATTGTTCTAGATACTGCAGTCTAGATCACGTACATCAGGGGCAGGAGTGTCTCTCTGAAGGTAGGGCTTGATTGAGCGGTATTGCTTGTAGAACTGGGTCAAGTCGGGCACCAAGTCCTTGACGACGTAGGTGTGAGGCAGAGGGTAGACCTTGACGTCTGAAGCGTTCTCTGAAGGAATGCGGCCTTTCATACTTGTTAGCATTGAATCGCCGTTAGTTCTTGCAGCAGCTTGCAAAGCCAGGTGGCTACAAGGGTGCTTCAGGAGTCCACATACAAAGGCAAGCCAGCGTGTTCTGGCCGTTGATGTTCATGGCGCAGCTACCGCAGATACCCTCTCTGCAACTTCTACGGAAGGTAAGAGTAGGGTCCAGCTCGTTCTTGATCCGAATCAATGCATCCAGCATCATGGGTCCGGTCTTGTTCAGGTCCAGCGTGTACTCCTGCATCTTGGGCTTCTCGGTCGGCGTGTCGGGGTTCCAGCGGTAGATGGTGAACTTCTTCATCTTGGGCTCCTTTGTCGCAGGCACTTGATCGCTAGGAGTGGCCAGGCCACGGCGAGGAATCGTGACGGCAGGGCGGAAAGCAGCCTTGGTGGCCGAGCCCAAGACGCGGGTGGAAGAGCGGAGAGATGCCATTATGGCGGTTGATTTTCGAGTTTGACTGGACAGAAAATGTAGGCAGACGAATTGATTGTTGACACACCGAGTGGAAGATGAGCGATTCCAGCGAATTGGCGGGGCGCGGTGTAGGAGAGCAGCGATTCACCGTAATATTATCCTTGGTGGCGGTTCTGAGTGAAGTGGAAGACATCATGGAAGTTTGCTTCAATCCCTCGGTTATTGTGTCGAAGCGGCCGGAGCGGAAAAGTGGGGTCTTCAACCAATCATTGCTGAGTGATTTTAAACCACATTTCCTCTGCCGCTTTTGACCTCAATCCCGAGCTCCTACCTTGCGCCCCCGGATAAATACTCAGCAAGACATCTTCAATATCAAGAAACCCTCAGTCAATGACATTATCAATGTTAAGTGAGTACGATATCGATGTTCAAATTTCCAGACTACTTCGCCGTGCATCTTGACAATCATATCTCCCCATCCGGATTACCGGCTGATGGTGACTTAAAGCAGCGCACACCTCCTTCCCCCAGTTTTCGTGTGGAATAAACCGGCATCTAGGACCGGGAGCAGCTGAAAGCTGACTCAGCGGGAATACCCCGGGTAGGTAGTATCCCTGGGGAATCTGGGGTTGGGGCCTTTTTCTTATGACATCAAGTGGACGTTGCATTCCCTTTCAGACGCGACTACCTATCACAAATCGTCTGTCCATCTGCCGCTGCGCAAGTGCTCGCGTCGAAGAAGCGCTTCTCGCTCCGAAGTATCTTGGATCCGCAGTATGGTTATGTGATTCAAGTCACATTTCTAACGAGCAATTGATACGGTTAACATGCGGACTGCGGAAGCACCGCATCTCCAAGAAACATTATACATCGCAGCACATTGGAAGCAATGGCCGCAGCGGTGACAGTATTGCGCCAGCCTCTGGTCCTCCTCCCTGCCACAAGGCCGATATCAAAAGGTATGCTCCTTGATTTACATCAAATCCCCTCAGTCGCTAACTGATTGTTCCTTAGCATCCATCAACTTTTCGAGGTATCTCGCCCGACACCAGTCGACCCCGCCGACACACATCTCACCGCGATACTTTGCGACAACCAGAAGCATGAAGTCCGACTCGGCTACGAAGCTATCCTACCACGTTGCTGCGTCCTTTACCGCAAAAGACCACCCCTACGACCCATCAACGCACATCTTTCACTTCAATCCGTACAACCGTATCCAGCAAAACCGGAGCAAACGCTCCAGACCAGACAGCGGACACGATGCTTTCTTCGTCAGTCGAGTAGGCGACTCCGGCGCGGTAGCCGTCGGTGTGGCTGACGGTGTTGGCGGCTGGGTAGACTCCGGTGTTGACCCGGCGGATTTCTCACATGGTTTCTGCGATTACATGGCTTCGACAGCCTACGGACATGGCACCGTCAAGGACGACCCTACAACAAAGGGCACGGGCGATAAGGAGCCGCTACGAGCGCAAGATCTGATGCAAAAGGGGTACCAGGCGATCAATGAAGACAATACTGTCGTTGCTGGTGGCAGCACAGCTTGCGTTGCTGTGGCCTCTTCAGACGGCAATCTCGACATTGCAAACCTAGGTGACTCTGGCTTTATCCAGCTCCGATTGAACGCCGTACACACCTACTCCGAACCCCAAACGCACGCCTTCAATACTCCTTATCAGCTCTCAATCGTGCCTCCCAGCGTAGCCGCTCGAATGGCGGCGTTCGGTGGCCAGAACCTATGCGACTTCCCCAAAGACGCCGACGTCACTCGCCATGACCTCCGTCACGGCGATATCATTGTCTTCGCAACAGACGGTGTGTGGGACAATCTGTTCAACCAGGATATCCTGCGTATTGTTAGCAATGTCATGACAACGACAGGCGCATGGCTCATGACGAAGAATGGCGTCCGCATTGTCGACAATCTCAAGCCCTTCACCAAACCCGCCGAAGACGCCTCAGAGCGACCGTCGACAAAGTTTCTCACCTTACAGAGCGTGCTCGCGGCGGAGATCACGTCCGCCGCCAAGTCAGCAAGTCTCAACCGTAACGTCGACGGCCCCTTCGCCAAGGGAGTGCAGAAGTACTACCCGCAGGAGAACTGGCACGGTGGCAAGATTGACGACATTTGCGTTCTCGTACTCATTGCGTCGGACGACTCAAAGGCCGCGGCCAAGAGCCGCCTCTGAAGCCGTCTTGTATCATTATCAACATTATCTACCGCATCTGAAGCTTGTCATTGCTATTTCCAGTTGCGCAAAATTACCCCCCAATAGAAGCTTAAAAAAGGAGCGCCACCGCTGCAATTTTTTTATTGTATCGTAATCTTGGACTGTTATCCAATTTCTCCGTCAGTGACACAGCAATGATGTACAAAGGATCCTGAGCAATATCTTGTTTTCTCCTACACACGCGATGAAGAAGCATCGAGGAGTCGGCAGTCAGTCAGTTATAGTAGTTTCGAAAAATACCATCCAAGATCGAATTCTGTCTCGTTGATTGCACTTTCACGACCAGTCTCTACTCGCCTGAATCCATTGGACGTTTCCCTGCTTGGCTTCATGCTTCTCCACCGATTAAACTACACGTTTTGGCTCACGCGATCGGCAGTAACGGTCGAACATGAGGTCCAGTTGTCTTCCTTTCCCCCCCTTGTTTTCTCTCCTCCTGTGTCCTTGCCATGGAAGCGGGGCCGAAGCACTGGGAACTTGCCGATCGCAGGATGGCTCTGCTTGGGCGGGTTTTTGGTTGCTTCTTTCTTCCAATGGACGGAGCCCCTCCCTTTTTTTCTCGAACTCCACGTCAGCTCTGGAGTCTGCGGCCCGTCCTCCTTTTTCTCCACGTGGGTTTGGTCTGTCGTTTGAGCCACTAATCTGGGTCGAAAGAGAGAGAAGGAGCATGAAACAGCTTTATTGTCTGGGGGAAACAATTGGCTGTGCCAAAAACCTACCTTACCTTGTATTGTGGATGTAGGGAAGAAAAGACGTTGAAGTGAAACTGTGTGGAGGAACGACGACGATTGATGGCATGCTGTTTGTCTTTGAAAACCTATCCGACGATTACTCGCCGTACACAGAATTACATGGGATGATGGGCCCCATACCAGAGGCAGCGCACGTCCGCTTCCGAGAGGGATAGCCGCAGGTCGAGTGACACCGCTTTGAGATGGAGACGGAAATGTCACCTCACCGAGGACAAACGGTCATGCGATGCATGCAGCCTGAACAGGCAACGTCAAGACGCGGGGTTGAAATAATCCTTGTCACACAGTAAACACGATCACAAGCAGCAAAGTCAAGATGTGGAAAGGCAACAATGCATTGAGTTGCTAATTGATTGTTTACAGACCCAAAGTTTTCCGATAGGTTTACTTAATCATCCCCTATCTTCGAGAGCGATTTGCAACTCGATCCGCTTGCTTCATGTGAAATGCAACTCCTGGTCCTGTTCGTTCTTGGATCGCATTACTGTATTATAATATAACCTTTGTTCGCATCATATACCATTCATTGGGCTGAGACAGCCCAAACATCCCCAACAGCCACCAGCTTACTGGAAGTAGAGCATGGCAGCGACGGTAAGGCCGATCAGAGCAATGGGAGAGCCCATGCGGACAGCGTCACTGCCGGGGACGGTGGTAGGAGAGCTGGTAGAAGAGCTGGTAGCGCTGGTGCCTGTTGAATATGTTAGTCAAGCTTCTTCTGCTTTGAATAGAGGTTTACGTACGGGTGCTAGCGCGGGTGCTGGTAGAGACAGTGGAGGCAGCGGTGGAGTTAGCAGCGGAAGAGGCCGAGCTGCTCTCAGCAGAGGCGGAGGAGGCAGAGGCGGAAGAGGTGATGGTGGAAGCAGCGACGGTGGTGGTGATGGTGGCGGAGGCGGAAGCGGAGGCAGAGGCCGAGGCAGAGGCCGAAGAGACGGAGGCGGAAGCAGTGACGGAGGTGGTCAGGGTGAATTGCTCAGAGTAGTTGGGAGTGCCAGTAGAATCCGAGATCTCGATGGCGTACTGGTCGCTGGGGAGGGTGGAGGACGGAGTCCAGGAGAAGGAGGTACCACTCTGGCCAGCTGGAGTGGAAGTCAGTATCAGATGACATTTCACCAGTACTCGAGGTAGACTTACAGGCGATGGTGGAGATGGTCTTGAGGTCGGTGCTGGGGCCGTTCTTCAGGGTGAGAGTGACGGGTCCAGAGGCATCAGACCAGGTGATCTCGAAAGGCTGACCAGCCTGGACGTTGAAGTTGGTGTTGGTAAGCTGAACAGCCTGGGCCAGGGCAGCGAAGCCGGCGACGAGGACGGAGGTGAAGCTCTTCATTGTGACGGATTGGGTTGTTTCTTGAAAATTAAGTGATGAACGAGTGTAGGAGTATTAGGTATCGGTATCGAACTACTGTAATTTTAGCAAAAAAGGTCAACAACGAATGTCGGGAATAGGCTCGTGAGGAATCAAGAGGGAGAGAAACAGGCAACGATGGGAGAGGGAACAGCTGGGTAGAAAAAGGCTTCCTCGTCTCGCGCAGGCGCGAAATTAGGCGAAGTCGAATCAGGGGTAGAGCATGGAAGGGGGGGGCGTGTGCGGGTTTGGCGGAGAGGCGGGCAGGCATGCGACTTACATCAACACCTGGACGGGGCTTTTCCTATAATTACTCGCACCCGTTACTGTTGCTGGGGGTGTGTGGATGGTTGGCTTTTTGGGGAAGTAGCACCAGAAGACGGGCAATTTGAATTCTGGGAGTGGTGTGGTTGTGATTCTTGGTTCTGGTCTGAGTGTTGGAGCTTTGGAGGGATTTGATTGTGGTGTGGACCGGGCAAGTTTGTTTGGATTGAGATGGTGATGGAATGGATGAGTTGTCAGGTGGGAAAAGATGGGCGCACTTGAGCTTAAGAAGAGGCAGGAAGTGTCGAGGTTGAAAGAGACAAGCGCGCGATCGAGCCTTCCTCTTCGCTACATTATGACCTACTGAGTACTCATGGCGACATCATAACAAGCACCCAACGCAGCAACAGCCGGCGACGAGCAGCAACCGCGCACACCTTGAAGCTTCTCGAGGACGCCGCGGACGGCATCACGGCTCCCACTGGGGGCGCGGACTCAAGGTAGGCAGGCAGGTAGGTAGGTACCTTACACTGGTGAGGTAAGCGTGGAAAGCGTGGAAAGCGTGGAAAGGTACCTTACCTACTATGTGAGCCTATGAGGTACCTAGGTAGGTAGGTCAACATGCTAGCACCTCAGGAAGTCGCAGGGCGCGGGTACCTTCCCACCTCTTCCAGCGGCCCTGGCAACAGGGGTGGCACTAAGTCCCAGATTGGACTAACGTGGAAAATTCTTGGAGGGTACCCCTGTAGCAGAGAGGAACCTGACGAACCCCAGGAGAAGCGCTAACGAAGACCAAGCTTCAGGTTCTTGCCTTTTGGTTGTTTTTGGTTGACTTCCTTCTGCTTCTCTCAGTGGCCTCCTCTGGTGCCGCAAAGTGCCACGACTGCGTGCAGCAGCTTCAGCTTACTAGTGTTGGCGTTCCAGGTTAGCTGCGAATTTTGCCTTTGCTCAAGCCTCAATCTCTTAACCATCCATCCTCACGCCGTCGTCTGGTACCTTATGTTCAGCCTAAGGTAAATAGGTAGGTCCCAACTCTAAGACGACCGTCTGAAAAGCAGACACGCAGAGTACCTTGGCTTTCTTGTAAGCTAACCACCTCCAGGGTGATATGCGGTTCCTCAAGGCTCAACGACGTGTAACCACAGGGCAGTCCCCAGATGCAGCCGTCAACTCCCTCCCCCGGTACTCCTAGGTTGCGTCCCCGGAGTCGCCCAAGGCTCCTTATTGGGCTATTTTGGCCGGGGCGATGAGAGGATCACGACCAGCTCGGGCAACAGCAGGGAACTTGGAAGAGGTCTGGGCCTCAACGGTTCTGGCCTGGGAGTCTGGGACTCTGTTGACGGTTCTCATTTCTGGGACCCAGGGCCATCACTGGCGTCAATTCGAACAATGCGCCCAGCAATGGCACAATCTTCCACATGCCGCCGTACCATCTCGCTTCCCTGCTTTCCAGGCCGCACCAGGTGACACCACGTTGGAACCCGCTGGAACGGTCCAAGACTTGAAGAGATCCCAAGAACTCCCTCGGCCAGTCGCCGACCTGCTTCGAGCCAGTCACTGACCCTCTCGCCGTCGAGACTCAAATGGGTACAAATCCCAAAGTACGTTCGGCCGGACAGGCAGTGGGCAGGTACTCCGTACATTCGTTCTGGTCCGGCAATGGGGAAAGGTTCCTGTCGATCTGGGTCTTTGGAGGCGCAGCAAGGGAGAGGGACAGAGACTTCTCCATCTCGCACATTTCCAACGGCCGCCCTCCTCCGAAGCCCTTCACATTGGACTGATTCGCAGTGGGCAGCATGACAAGGGCCCTTTTCGCCCCCCATGGGAATGTGCGAATGCTTCTGCCGCTGCCGCTGACGCCCGGCTCAGCCTGCAATTGCGTGCGCAGCCAACAGCGCCCATCCCTCCACCCTCCCTTCCAGCTCGTGTTCCATTTCTCCACGGCAAAACTTTACTTTCCGCGGACCAGTCACGAGCCGCCTGCGATCCCATCATCGATCCGAGTTGGCAATGACAGACAGCCTAAGGCTCCCCCCCACCACACTATTGGAGGTGACGACGCCTACGAAGCTGGATGCTTGTGATGGTGGCTTTGACGAGTGATACATCCTTACAGAAAATCTGTGCTTGGGCAGTTGGAAGACTCGAAAATAGCATCGGCACCTATACGCCTGTCCTTGATGTGTTGGGACACTTACGTTCGTCAATCGTCCGAGATCTGTGCCTCATCTGCAGAGTAACATGCCTATACTTCGTACGTAGTACGAATACTCCGTACGTTCCTCACAGTGGTTTGTTTTGGGCGGGAGCGCCGACATGACTGACGCGCGGGACAGCAGATCACCTGCTGCTGACATACGGATACCTGGGTACTCGAGCGTGTCAAGTTCCTTTTCCTTTGGTTCACCAAGACACTCCTTTGTAATTAATCATCCGATGCTGATTTGGAGAACGCACCTTCACGCTTCTGGTATCCGAACCGTTTCGCGACGACAGTCAGACGCACATCAATCTGGAATGGAACAATCCCCTAATACCGGCCAGGACAGCCTACTTCATAGGCGTGGCAGGCTACGGATCGCCTGATGAGGATCTACCGAGGACCTCTGGGGAAAAGATTTCACTCGCGCCTTCACCCGCTTGATCCGTGCCGCAAGTTGCCATCCCGCCCCATCGATCCAAACTCCAAAGTGCAAAGCTTCGCGGAGGAGCCAGGAGCATGCACATATTGCATATATTACCGTCCCATTTGTCGACGCGCCTCGCTGAGTCGCTGCATCCCATCATGTCATCGCGCCAAAGCGGCAATCTCGCTTTCATTCGACTGACCGGGGAGCCTCCTCAGAACGATCAATAAGATGCAACGACGTCAGGCTCGCCTATGCCAATGGCGTCTTCCAGTTCCCAGTTCCCACCGAGTCCAATTTCCAATGCACACCCCGTTGGGTCCCGTTGTGGAGACCAACATTGGCCAAATCTCCCCAGCACGCGCTATTTCACGGCTTGCACGGTTCCTGCATTCTGCGCAATGGTCCTTGCTTCTGACCTCCAATCGACGGACTCGGACACTAACAGCTCTCGCCTGACGGCCCTGGCCCAGGACTTTCACTGGAACCCTGTCCATGCGTATGCGCGCTCCTCCGAGAGGCTCCACGGCCGACAACGGGAAGCCTGCAGCATCGACAGGGCATCGCCTGGCTCTGACTGCGATGCCCTGTCGATGTCGTCCGAACCCTTCAGCAAGTTTGTCAATATCCAAGTCGTTTACCACGAAATGCACCTCCGACAGAGCCATCGGACCAAACCATCGGATACGGCAGCTCGCTCAAACTAGCAGCATCTTAAACTTCGGGGAAAATACACGCTGGGGTCGCACCGTCGCTCTGTCCGCGATAGGCTTGGCTCTCTCCATGCTTTACATACCTATTTTCCACCCAAGTCACTTACTTGGATCTCGCAGTATCTCAATACGCAACCAGCCGTGCGATGACACTTCATGGCCATGCTATACTTGGGTCTTGGCTGAAATGGACCAAGCCTGCTGGCTCAGGGAGCGTTTCACTCTGACACCCGACTGGAATGGAAAAGCACCAGAACCACGGAGTTTTCCTCGGCTCGACTCAGATGACGTAAGTACGACTCTTTGACGGCGATGACAGGAATGCCGGCGTAGCAGCCGTCAATTCATCAATTCATTCATGCCGTTTCAGCTCGTAGCTCAGTCAAGACACGGAAATCAGACTGAGGTATTGAATATTCTGCAACGCCAAAGCCGTGTGCGTCAATCAGTGCAATCTGTCTCGTCCGCTGAAAACGTTCACCAAGCCGTAGGTCTTGTAATTTGACCGCAGAAACTGTCTCCCACACGAATTCCACAGTAATTTCATGTTGAATAATCATGCCACAGGCTGGGTCTTCGTAGCATTTTCAGGTCCGAAAGAACAGACTGAAAACCACATCGATGTGACAGAATCTTATCTTAGAAGATTGACGCAGCGGGCATTGTTCTTTAGCCAAAGACAGCACTTGGCGACATATGCTGGTGTGCCGGGGTAGTAGTCGACACCATGGGATCAACGGAGCAAATGGCATAAAGCAAAGCGCCGTGGCGGTGGCGAACTCACAACAGAGGCCTCCTCTCCATATGATAGGCAGCTTTGACTAGCATGATGATGTCTATTCACGAGATGAGCCCAGTGTGCAGTGAACGACCCCTCGCCGGACACCCTCAGCCTCCTCCCTGACTTGAGTCACCGTTGCTCCTCTGCCCCTAGCCTTGTCCACGAAATCATCGAGTGAACCTCCAACACCAAAGTAAAGCCTTTTCGCTCCAACTAGCGCCTGCGACTGGCAGCCGCTACGTTGGCTCTGCTCTCTGTTGAGGATTGCAAGGACCATCTCGTTGAAAGCGTCAAGTGCGAAGGGCGAGTAGATGGTTTCCGCTCCAATAAGAAGGGTATCGAAACTGCTGGACCCGTCCAGCTTGGACTGAGTCTCATATAGGAGGTCAATAAGCTCGACTGACCAGCCACCGGAAGTGAAATTGAGAGAGATTTGAGAAGATGTCAGGAACTCCTTGAATTGCTGCAAAACCTCGGTGGTAAGTTCGAGCTCGTCTTCCATCGCGAACGCCTCCTCCAGGATGGGGTTCTGGTCTCTGCGTTCCAGAGCCCAGGCGAGGATAAAGTTTGGCAACGTGACCAACTGCAAGACTGTCGGGTTGTAGTCGGCCAGGGTCAGCAATAGTGGCGATCTCGGTGCTGGATTCCTCATGGTCCATTGCAAGAGAGCCAGCGATGGGAGCGCTGTGCCGCATCCAAGCTGCACGCGGGGCATGTTAGCTTTCGGTTCGCCACTTGAGCCCAGCAAGCAAAACAAAAAAACGCGCGTCAGATGTTGAGATGTTCGTACCTCGATCACTCGGAGAGGCCGTTGCTTGAGCAGGTCCAGGTATTGGCCACTGGCGAGAACCTTGACGAGGTCCACGCTGCTCTCCCAGCTCTTGAAACCACCTTCGTAGACGCCTGTCTTGACGTCGTGGCTGCCGAGCCCCTCGGCATCGGCACCGTCACCGGCGGTCTCGTCCTCGGCCATGAGCTGCACTCGCACGTCCCAGAGCTCGCGACGAGGGATCTTGATGAGGTTGCCGTCGTCTAGGGTGACGTCCAGGGTGCCGAAGGCGACCTTGGAGGGCAGCTTGGAGAGCATGTCCTGCAGGTCGTGGGCGGTGGGCGGCAGCTGGGGTTTGCCGGGGACCGGAAAAGCGCTGGCTGCCGGAGTAGCAGCAGTAGCGGACTGCGGGGTCTCGGGCTCCGGAGCGGGCGCGGAGGCCTCGGCGGCCGGGACGGGGACCGAGTCGTCTTCTATGTCATCGCCGCCGAAGCCGAAGGAGAATGATGCCATGTTATTTTTTCTTGGAGGTGGGAAATGCCGCGTGGATTTGCAGGATTTTTTGTACGTACCTTTCTGCAAAAGGTGAGCGAGTTGAGTAACCAAGAAAGAGACTATGAAAATGTGGGGGCGGGTTCACTCACACACACACACAAAACGAAACGCAGTCTCTTATTGGAACCTCACCGAGGCAAGCTACCTTACCTGCCGGGTGTGTTTGTCGAATCGGAAGACCAGCGACGACAGATATCTCACGCCACCCAAATGACTTTGATGGCTTGCAGATGGTAGATGTTTTTCGAGGCAGTGGGTCGATTAAGCTTGATTCAAGCTTGCATTGCCGGGTCCTTGTCTGTGGTAGTAGGCGGTATAATCAGAAAGTTAACTGTTTAAGCTGGACTTACAACCAATTCACGGTGCCCTGGGCTTCTAAGCCGTTGCCACCAGCAAAAGTTCAGCTACAACGTCTTCCCACCGCTCACACACCCAAAGCACATGGGTGATGAAGAGAAGATGATTAGCAGAGTTGCCAACGACCAATTGGTCGAGTCCCCATCAAGCCAGTCGTCATCGGTGGCCAAGACTGGGAATACTTGCTTTTGTTTGCCAGAAGTTCTTCCCTATCGGCGCTTTATCATTTGAAAACTCTTCCAATTCCGCACCAACGCCGACCGCTGCTGCCTGTTTGGTCACTTGCTTGGTCGCAAAGAGACCAATAACCAACAACTTCCAAGAGAGGCTTCATGCAGTGCGGCGACTAGGGAGGAGGCATCACAAGTTCACAACTGAGTGATTGTCTCATATCTATCTGTACAGAGCCACGGAGCCTCCCCTTCGGCCTTCGGGTCTCGTGCTTACATCCTGAACCCCCAACACCCATGCCCTGCTGCGAAGGCGAGGACGAAAGCGAAAGCCGCAACTTTAATAGGCTGACTGACGTTCGGAGAAATGATCCGCATCTGAGCCTATTCCTTCCACGTCTCTGACTGCGTCTCTCGCGCATGCTCTGCTCTGCTCTTTGCACTCGCTCTTCATACTAACTATATATAACGTGGTTCATCAGTCAGCCGGCCGGACCAGTCAGCCGGACGTTTTTTCCCACGTCCACAACAACATCTAGTATTTCTCAACCACAACGCATTAAATCAATTATTGGTTATCGCTATCAGAATCTCCTGATGATTCGACATCTTTGGAACAGGTTCGTGTATTATGCCTAGTCTTACCACACGCACCACAGCGTCTCCGAGTCGGCTGGGCTCTCTTTGATGGACCCCCCTCCTCATCCTCTCGAGGTGCTGGACGTTTACCTTTTTGTTTCTCTTCCAGCAAACCCTGAGATTCCTCTATACTAAGTGCCCCTCCAAGCTGCACACGCGACCTTTTAGCCCTCCGACGCTTAGCAAGTGCTACATTCGCATCCTCAAGGGTACGAAGCCGATCAGTTAAAATAGTGATTGAGTGCGCCATTGCCTGCGCACCCTTTGACAATTGCTCAACTGCAGCGATAATTGGTGTC